AGCCATCCCCCCTATCTATCTAGCCGTGGAGCCCAGACCCCTCCCCACCACATCACAGTGAGGCCCAGAGAGGGGAAGGCACTTGTCCACAGTCCCACAGCCTGGACACAGGTGACCTGCTGTCTAACCTGCTGCTCTTTCCATCCAACACATTCCAGAAGAAACCAGCATTTGTATTATCCAAAAAGCATCACTCAGTCTCAGCACACTAGGACCCTGGAGGTCCCAGTTCTTTGCAAAATGGACAGGACAGAAGGGAGAACTATTCCCTTTATCATGTTTCTTTGTGTGTTTTTTAAACAGACAGCATGCAAGGGAGAAATACCGTGGACAAGAGGCACAATAACAACCAAAATAAGAAGTCTCCTAGCTTCTGGAGACACGCAGCCTTGCCAGGGCCCACACGCTTCCACCTACGCTGAAAAATGCTTTCTCTGCTCACAACCCCCTTTCCATAAAAACGAACACAGGCCTGACAAAATGCCATGAGACACTGACTCAGGTTGTCACTCTGTAAAAATGGTAGCAGGAATAGTCCAGTCTCATACGGGGAGCCGTGGAAATGCATGTCAGGCTGCCTGATGCCAGTCCCGAACCTGACACTCACTAGTCACGTGACCTTGAGGGCGAGCGCTATAACCTCTGGGAGCCTCAGTTTCTTCATCTGTAAAATGGGAATGACAAAGGTAGCTAGCTCCTAAGTGACTGGGAGAAAGCCTCTGTACAGGAAAGTACCTGGTAAGTGTGAAGCACATTGAAAGCTATTGTTATGATTACAGCATGTCCCAGTGTAAGTCACCCTACGTGGTGGCTATTGTCACTGTCACTGCGTGTCCCTCTCTGTGTTCTCACTGGAAGGTCAGGGTGTAGGAGAGGCATGGGGATCCTCTGCACTCCCTCCCGGAGCCTGAGCACCTCGAAACCATCCTGGTCTTCTGGGCCGGGCAGGTGGGGGCCCCTTTCCTCTCCCTGTCCTCCTGTTTTTCTCCATCACTCTCCATTCAGCCTTAAACTGCATTCCCAGGGCTGGCTCAAAAGTCCTCAGCAGCCGCCTTCCCTGGGGAGGAAGTAGGGAGCGTGTGAGGCTAGTGAACTCAGCTGGGGTGTCAAAGGGGTAAGAGGGCGTCCTGGGAACAGAGGCCCAGAGTAGCCGCATAACAGACGGGCCATGGAACGGGGCCCCACACGGTAGCTCCCACTCCAGCTTCCACATCTTCTCTGGATGCCTCTCTGGACCTTTGCCCTCATCCTTCCTGCTTCCCTTTCTCCCATGCCTATGCCTCGCTGTGGGTCCAGCCCTGGGCTCCTAATGGAAATCGCAGCCATTTACGTGGGCTCACTACGTGCCACCAACTGAGCTTGCACTTGACATCGACTTCATCTGACCTTCACAGACAAGCCTGAGGTCGGGGACCACGTTCAGAGAGGTGAAGCCACCAGCTCTCGATCACATAGCTAGAAAGAGCTGGGGGCGAGATTCAGTGCAGATCTGCTGGCCTCCGGAGGCTGTCCGTTCTGTTCTTTGCAAATTTATGTTGGAAACCCCAGGACCCTAGAGCCCAAGGAGAGCCCAGGCTGTAGGACATGCACACGCATGAGGGACCCAAGGAAGGGGAGCTGAGGGCAGGGAGGCCTCTCCAGACAGAACCGACTGCGGCCATGGGTTTCATGTGCCTGCATGGAGCCCAACCTCAGCCCTCTCCCACTGTGGTGCCATCTAGCTCACAGATGTGGCCCATTCCCAGGCCCTCGTGCCCCCTGGAAAGGAGCAAGGCCAGCAGAGGGCACAGTGGCTTTTGCAATGACCGGAACGATGTGAGCTTTGTTTTGGGGTCATCCAGCAGGCCGCCGCTCAGGCTCAGGAGACAGCTGGATGGAGCATGAGCAGCCCTGGGGTCAAGCTTGTCTCTGGTTCTTGCTCACAGATGATGGGCCCGGGCGCGTTGCAGAGCCGCTTGGAAGCTCAGTTAAGCGGGGAGGTTGGTCCTACCTCTGGCGGTGGTTGGGAGCGTACCTGCAGTTATGGAAGGAAGCCTTTGCGGGGTGAAAGCCTTGTACGGCTGGAAGCGGTCACAGGTGGCCCCAGGGGCTGTCCCTTCGGCCTTGGCCACCGTGTTAACCCCAAGTTTTGACCTACCCCTAATCGGCTCCTTTCTGATGTGTGAGGCCGGAGGTGGAGCCATTCGTCAGAGGGGCCTCTGGAAAACTTCCTTCCAGACCCATTCTTTCGCGATGGGGCCTTAGTGTGCTGGGAAGGCAAAACGGCCCCTCCTGCTCTCGGAGCTTCTTGCTACTCAGAAGACTCCCTTTGAAAGCCAGGCAGGCAAAGGGGGCACAGTGGCTGCCTAGGGCCCGAGGAGCAGGCTCTTTGGGGCCTGGAAGATCCCAGCAGTTTCAGCCTGAGGCTTCTGAGGACCCAGCAGGAGGCCAGGCCCATCCTCAGGCCCCTGGAGCCCGGAAACCCAATCAGGACCTCCCCCAGAGGCCAGGGCTCTGGCCACAGGGCACTCCAGCATCCTTCTGAGAGGCGGTATCTTTGTTTCTTGCAGGCAAGGGCACTGGCTGTGGAAGCCCTTCCTACAACCCTGACATGGGAGGAACAAGCCCCCCAGAGAGGGCCCTCCTGAGGACAGGGAGGAGGACAGGCAGCCGGGGCCCTGAGAACAGAGCTGTGCCTCCCGCCCCCACCTGGCGCCCACAACCCCCCACAGCCCCACCCCTGCTGCTCGAGGCTCAGGCAGGAGCCCCGCGCCTCAGGACACATTCGCCATCCCAACCCTCAGAATGACCGAGAAACCAGGTCTTGGGAGTGGGAACAGTTGAAGGAAGGCCCCTGCTGATGGAAGGGGTGCAGGCAATTCAGGGCGGTGAGGTGTGGGTTGTAGGTGAAAAGAATTGGGGTCACAGAAGAGAAAACCAACCGGGAGGCAAAAATCCACCCCACCCCAGGCTCCCTACAAGCCAGCAAGGCAAAGCCTGTGTGCCACAGAGAATAACAGATTTGGGGGACACATGGAGAATGACAGCAATCCTCCCTGGGAAGGAGTAGACAGGGTCGGGCTCTAGGAACAGGTGGACTTGGGGTTGGTGAGCCTGGTGATTAGAGAAACAGCTCCCGGGGCTTAGGAAGGGTCTGGGAGCTCAGGCTGGGGCCGGGGGGTGGGGGTGCAGCGCTGGGCACACAGTGGGGCTCAAGAAACCATAGCAGTTTGGTTGTTTTTTTTTTCCCCTACCCATCATTTGCTTCTACACTTGCCAATTCCAGTCCCCTGCACATGGAGCAGGCAGGGTGAGGTACGGGGTTCCATAAGACAAGTAGAGAAACTGAGGCACAGGGAAATGAAGGAACTCGCTCTCACGGACAGTCAGTTGCGGCACGGGGTTCTGGCACCAGATCTCATGAGCATGGAAAGAGCAGACGAGGATCTGATGGTGGGAGGAGGACGCAGGGCTCTGGCAAGAAGCTGACAGTCCAGGACAGGTGACGAGGCCCAGGCCTGGCTTACATAATACAACACACCTGCTCACCGCTGCATGGCCCACACGTGCGAGCCAACATGTGCTCTAGCGCAGCGTGCACACCCGCCCTCGCTCGCGGGCCAACGAGCCTCAGAGCCTGGGTCTAAACAAATTGGATTAGGAGGGCTGCAGGCCCCTCGCTCCCCCCAACACACACACACACTGTCCAGCCCCGACACTGAGCAGGCCTGCAGAGCTGCCAGCCCCCGAGACCTGCCCCGGGGCCTCAGGAAGAGGGCCGGGGTCTGAGAGGATGCCAGGATGATGGATGGGCCAGCTCAAGAGCACACAGGATGTCGCTGCTTGTGCAAGGCTCGTTTCTGAGCCGTTCCCAGCAACCCACCCCCGCCTCCCCTCCCGCAGCCTCTCCCACGATCGATCGCTGCCGCCAGGGCCCAGAGCCCGGGCCCCGAGCGGATCCACCCTCATCCCTCAGTCCCACAGCTGGGCAAGTGAGAACTGCTCGGCTTGGGAGACAATGGCCTGGGGACGAGACACAGGCAGGCACTTCACAGGGAAAAGGAGCTTAGGAACAGAGAGACAATGCCAGTTATAAAAGTGACATCTCTGTGCTTTCTCACCCATTGTTTTGCTCAATCCTCAGAGTGGGCCTGGGAGTTGGGAGATGATGCCCATTGCACAGATGTGACTACGAGTGATTCCAGAACTTCCCCTTCCTGAGCCCCGAGTCTGCTCCAGCCCTGTGTGGGGTGCTGGGGGCACCTGAACAGAGCAGCTGCCTCTTGGGCTTGGGCCCTGGGCACTGGGGCCCCCCTAGTCTTCCAGGGGAGCAGGGCCAGAGATGCCTTTTCCGTATGGCACATGTGATTGGCTGAATATCATCACTGAGAGTAGCCTTAGCAGTCAGCCCATCAGAACGCAGACCCCGAAGTCGGCCCCAAGTTCAAACCCTGCCTTGCTCCCTATCTAGCTGTGGTGGTCCAGCTAGCCTCTCCAAGCCTGGTTTCCCTTCTGTGAAATAGGGGTACAAAAGCTCGCCCTTTGTGGGGCTGACTGTGAGGATTAATGAGTATTTTGCCAAACCCCCATTTGACATGGAAAGAAACAGAGGCAGAAGAGGGAAAGGGCTTGGCCAAGGTCACACAGTGAGTTGGGGATAAAGTTGGGACCAGGTTGAGACCCCACTCCCCCACCCCTCCTCCCAGTATAAATCCTCCGCACTGGCTCCAGCCCAAGTAGCCCAGAGGCCATGACAGGCGGCCAGCCTATATAGACCACTCTGGGGACATGTTCTGGGGCCCACCCTCCACCTTCAGCCCTGCCCTGGCCTCCGCAGCACCAGAGTCCCAGGTGACCAGCAGTGGCCCCCAGCCCTCAGTGGTGGTGGAGGGTGGGGGAGCGCGGTGACGGGCTCCCAGCCCAGAGCAGCCTGGCCATATAAGGGAAGGAGCCAAGGAGGCCTCCTCACTCAGGCCTGGCGAGAAAACCCAGACAGCCGCTGTTTATTTTCTCCTTCCCAGCCTCCCGGAGCTTCCCAGGAAGACAGAGCTTCCCCCCGGCTGGGCTCAGCAATATTTCCTGAGGACAGTGGGGAGCAGGGAGGGGAAATTGGCCCATTTCTGGGAGCCACCCCCCAGACTGCCACCAGCCAGCACCAGGTAAGAATCTGCCCTATAAGAGTCCAAGGCCACTGTTCAACCGTCTCCTTTGACAGAAGGGAAATGGAGCCACAAAGAGGGGAAGTGCCTGGGAGAAGTGATCACACCAGTTGGTGATAGAACTCGGGTCTCCCAAGTGGCCCCCTGTCTACCGACTGGGGAACAAGAGTAAGAAGGAGCCTCTCATGGAGCAAGGAGAATAGGAAGGCTACCAAAACCCTTCTCCTTTGAAGGAGACCAGGTGTCAGGGCCAGCACTGTCTGCCTGCTGGGCAAGTAAGAAAGACTCAAGGGAAGAGTTCCCAGGGCTAAGAGAGCCAAGAGGACACCCTTCCGGCATCTCTGCCCCTCCTCCCAGCCCACCAGCACCTCCTCCAGGAAGCCCTCCCAGCTTCCCCCTGGGACAGGAACCTCTTTGTCCTCTAAGACCTTGGCAGTCCTTTCTCAGGCTCTCTCTTGTGCCACTTGGGTCTGCCCACTATTCACCTTGCCAGGGACACTTTCCTTCCATCTCAGTCTGATTGCGCCCCTCCAGGGCAAGGACGCAGTCAGGTTCAGTCCCACCTCCCCTTAGCAGGTAGAAGACGCCCTAGGTTTGCTGAATGTTCAGGTAAAATGGTTAGACCCTGTCCCAAACCCAAAGGATTGGTGAAGTGACTGGGGAAGGAGACATTCAGCATAGAGTTTAAAATGAGGGCGCCGGGGCTGGCTGTTCTGAGTTAGGAACCCAGCTCAGCTCCTAACTCCATGGCCTTGAAAAATTCCCTTCCCACAGGGCCTTGGGGACACAAGGGCGTTAGCACGATTAAAACAGTCAATAAACAACTGTTCTTATGACAGTCAGCAGCAGCAGATTTTTTTCTAGATACAAGGGAACAGAATGACACAGCCTATAGCCAGAGGAGAGGGAGGCAAATAGATTCCCCTGGTCAAAGGCTGCTCATCAAGCCCCTGTCCCTGCGTCAGAGTTTCTCCCACAGGAACGTGGGGCTGCCTCCCATCTCCCTCCCGCCTCCACACCCAGGAGAGGCACCATCTTCGCAGCAATATTCGGAGCTGGGTGGGCTGTGCTGGAAATAGCCCGCGACTCCCCTGCTTCAGCCGGTGGTGCCGGTGGGAGCATCCCCGCTCCATCCTGGCCCTCCACGGGGCGGTGAGGACATTGACCCAGCAGCCTCACCAGCCGTGCTGAAGGCTAATGGCCACGGGGCGCCACTTCCCGAACCGCGGCCACTCAGATACCCCCTTTCGTATTTTTCCCCTCTCTGCAACCAGTCACAGCATCTGTACATTTAAGATGAGTCATTCGCACGTTTGTACATTTGTACTGTCCGTGAACACCCGTAACACTGCCCATCTCGAGGGGATGAAGGTAAGAAGAAACAGAGCGAAAATGCAACAGTTCCTACAGGAGAATTCCACATTAGAGAAAGGCATTTCTTTGGCTGGGAATACCTCAGGAAGGGGCTGTCCCACTCAGGAGGCCACGGGGACTGACCTGCCCCCAGTGGCAGACCTGAGAGAGAGACACTCTTTGGATCAAGGCCAGATTTCGGATTTCTGGGAGAGGCGTAAGAGATGCTTTTTTTTTTTTTTCCAAGGAGGTGGGTTTTTTGTGTTTGTTCATTTGGGTTTTGGTTTTGGTTTTGTTTGGCTTTGTTTTTGCTTTCTTCCAGCCCTAAGGAAAGCCTACCCATCCCCCTTAGGCCTTCAGAGATCTCTGAAGGTATCTGTCATCCATTATCACGGCCACCACAGTAATCTGGCAAAGCAGGAAGGTCCTCCAAGGGTACCCTGAGAACTTGGGGGGGGCAGGAGGAACAGAGGGAGCTCTGCCTGCTCACTCAGAGAGGTTCCCACCCAAGCCAGGTCTCCAGAGGAAAATGAATTATCGACATGGGCCATTCAATCATCCAGCCAATGGCATTCCCTGGGGCCCATCAGCATGTCCAAAGACCTCAGCAAGGCCCAAGGACACCCCCAAATTAACAAATGTGGGCGCTATCCCCAGGGAACCGCATACTAGCCCAGTCAGACCCTGATGCAGATAGTTCTGACACTGGAGAGAATGAGTTTGAGGAAAGTAATTCAGCCATTCAAGCAACGCTTATTGAGCGTCTACACGGCCAGAAGCTGCTTTCAGGGGTGAGCACAGCCAGCCGTGTCCCTTCCCTCATGGGTAGGCCATGCAGCCCACGGGTGGGGCGCAGGATTAGAAAGAGGGCACAGCATGCATGAAGACGTGGACCGGGGTGTCCTGATGTCTGAAGTCGAGGAGGGCTTCCCAGAAAAGGTGGCCTTTTGAGTAGACTCTTAAGCCCACTAAGAGGAGACCAGCAGGGGGCGCAAGGAGGAGCAACACAGCTCCTGGGAGCCCAGAGGTGGAGGGCACAGAAGAAGAGGAAGAGGCCTCGTGGTCTTTGGTGAGGGTTTCAGAAATGAGCTGGAAGGAAGGCGAGCACTTTCAGGATCTTATGCATGGAAGAGATACAACCACATTTACATTTGAAAAATCACTCTGGAAGGATGTCCGGGAAGGATGGGTTGGGAAGGATGGGTGGGAAGTTGGGGGGCAGGGGGATTGGAAGCAGGGAGACCAGGTAGGAGGCCAAGGCTAATGTTTGGTGGTGTAAACTATCAAGTACCATGAATGTGCTGTTGGGCTCAAGGTTACGGAGCATAAAGGTGGGGCATGGGGTCACCATATAAGGTGAGTCCATTTATTGGAATGTCTAGAGTAGGCTGCTCTCGCTCGAGACAGAAAGCAGTCTGCGCCGAGCCAGGGCGGATGGGAGATGGGCGGGGCTGAATGATAAGAGGTCTCTTGCTGGGGTGATGAAGTGTTCTACAATTGATTGTGGCAGGGCTTGCACAACTCTGTGAATGTATTAAAAACCATTTCGTTGTACACTTCAAGTGAGGGGGGGATTACATCTCCATAAAGCTGGCTTTTAGCAAAAGGAAAGAAAAGGGAGGTGGAGGGTTGGTCCCAGAGGGCTGGGAAGCCAAGCTGAGTACAGGAGGGAGACACAGTGGGGTGGGGGCAGTTACAGCAGGCTGGGGGGGGGGGGGGGCGGGCTGTGCAGCGGACTGCGGCCCCGCTGACGCCCCCTCTCCTGCCTAGGGTGGAACCCCGACAGCAGCTCCTGGCTCCAAGCCGCACCCTGTCTCCCAGCCTGAGGTGCAGTGCTGCATCTCTGGTCAGTTGGGAGTCTGAGATGAAGCACTGTAGCTCGGGAAGGGAGAAGTTGTTCTGCAGCCATCAGCCTGGACATGGTAAGTGGTGGCGGTGCTTGGGGACACTGGGAAGGATGGGAGCGTTTCCAGTGTCCGTGCGGTCGGCCGAGGAAGTTTCTGGACTCAAGTCCTACCCGTGCCACGATCGGCTTCATGATACTTGGCCAAATCCTGACTCCTCCGTGCACCCCAGTCGGTCCATCTGTAACAGAGGTGTTGGGGCATTTGGTGGCGGCCAGTGCCCAACACCCTGCCTCGGCTTTCTCTTTCTGAGCCCGTGGTGGACCCTGCTCATCAGCCAGGGCATCCTTTCTTGAAGAGTTCAGATGCACCTTCAGAATCCTTCTCAACACCAAGTCCTGGATAGCTACTGTTAATGATTCAGAGCTGAAACCCATTTGTCAGCTGAAACCCATTTGAAATCCTTCTCAACACCAAGTCCTGGATAGCTACTGTTAATGATTCAGAGCTGAAACCCATTTGTCAGCTGAAACCCATTTGTCAGCTGAAACCCAATTTGTGGATTGGACAATTCCTAAAAACCCTTGCATCCCTGAAGACAAAAGTCCTGAGCTTTGAGTCAGGCTCCTCATTCTTTGGGTGCCTAACCTTGGCTCCAGGCTATTGCCTCAGCCAGTCCAGGCTTTACATACATGTCCAGCCTGTCTCAGAGGCTTCCGACAAGCAAGGAATAGCAGAGAATCACCGGGCTAAGCACAATCTTATTTAACCTCCTGACAAGCTTGGAAGGTGGCCAGTGTTATTGACCCATTTTACAGATGAGAAGACTGAGGCTCAGTTAAGCAATTCACCCACGGCCATGCAATGATTGTGTCAGCCAGGGTTGTAGCCTAATCTGTCTGCTTTCAGGTTCGTGTTCTTACCCCAGTCCAGTACATGTGATTTTAGAACTGGGGGGTGGGGGAGCAGGAGGAGAATATACTAAATAAATCTGGTCTTCTCCTTTCATCTTGGGTCGCTTTTCACAGACAGACCTAGAGAGTTTCCACTGACCCCATGGACTGCCTTGCTCCTATCCCTCCTCCCAAACTGTATCTGTCACACCTGATCCAGGAGGTCCTCTCCTCTCCCATTTGACAGTTGAGGAAAGCTGAGGCTAAGGGGCTTGCTGGAGATCCCAGGGAGAAAGTTGCCGCAGACCGCGAACCGGATCTGCCCAGGGTTTAGACTCAAACCCTCCCTCTGGCCGGAGACTGAAGAACACACAGCCCCCAGCAGTCATGGGGGGAGGGGGGCTGGGATGCCACCAGATGGTTTCTGGTCAACAACACGGCCTTTGACTACAGGAAAGGTACTTTCCAGGGCACTTGAAGTTCCAGTCACTGCTCCTGCTGGAGCAATCAGCCAGTCCCGCGATCCGTGGCGTCCACACTGACTCCTGCAGTTGGGACTGGACGCAGAAGAAGACTCTCGCCAGTCCTTAGGGATGTGGCAGGGCCTTGGTGCTGAAGGCCCCTCTCTCACCTTGTCCTCACGGTCCAGTTTTCCCAGGAATCCCTTAGATGCTAAGATGGGGATTCCTGGAAATACTGTTCTTGAGGTCATGGTTTAGCAGCTGGACTCACCTGCCCCCCACCCAGAGCTGTCCCCGTGGGACCTCAGCTCAAGCTCGGGATGAGGCTCAAGTAGGAGGCCGTGCGCTGGAGGTAAGAGGGCTTGCACACGGTGTTCTTGACCTTTAAGCTGCTTTTTCTTTCCATTTTGTCCATTTCGTAACATTCCTATGAGACTGGATGTGGGAACCTCACCACGGCTGTACTCTTGGGAAATTTGTCCAGGCACTCAGCTGAGGAGTGATTGAACCAGGTCACCATAAAGTATGTGCTTCTTCCGGTCCCCACCCCAGCCCCTCACCCCACTTCCCAGCATGCCCTGTGATGGGGGCCAAGATATGGTATCTACATTATTGATAAACTAATAAACGCACATGAGTTTATTTTAGTAGTTTATTAAATCAGTTAGATAAACTAAAAACCATAAGTCTTAGTTCGATTTGCAATGCAACCACAGAAAAATGAAAATTTTTTTCATCAAAGCCCAGAAGACAAAAAAAAGCTCAGAGCGCCCTCTTGTGGTGACACCTGCCTCTCCTTCCTTCCTGGAGCCCTGGGGCTTCTCTGACACACACAACACACATTCGGACATTCCTTTTGCCCCGATCACTTTGCGCCAGGGAACGAGTTAGCCCGCCCATCATCTCATTACCTATGGTGCCTCCATCACTAAGAGTTTAGTCCTACTTCTATAGCCTGGCTTCGTCCTCAAAGCTCTCAGTGTGGTTGGTGAGGCTGAGAGGTGAAGTGACCAGCCCAAGGTCACCCAGGCAGCCAAAGGCAGAGCCAGAATTGATTCCAGGTTCAGTGGCCTGTGGTAATTCCTTAGCCAAAAGCAAAAACTACAAAAAAAAAAAAAAAAAAGGAGAAGAAGAAGAAGATGACTGTCTGAATAGACACAGGGAATGCCCCAGACCTGAGGTGGTCCTGCTGCTGGACTAAAACTTCTTGCAAACTCTTCCTAGTGCTTTTCATGGAGATGGTAGGGACGGTAGGTGCCATGACCCTAGAATCCTCACCCGTGGATCTCATCCCCATACTCCCAGGGACCAGATGGCTCTCACATGGGGCTCCGGCTGTCTTCCTAGCAGACCATATTGAGGACCTTCATGAAGGATGAGATCCCCTCCTCCTCCTATATAGAGTGGAGCTGGCCTGACCACGGAGATAGCTGACTTGCTCCTGATAAATAATAATAATTATTATTATTATTATTATTATTATTATTATTATTATAGTGTCCATTCATTGACTGTTTACAATTTGCCAGGCACTCCGCTAATCACTTCCCAGGCATTGTCTCATTCAGTCCTTACTACAACCCAGTGAGGTAGGTTCTATCCTTTACCCTATTTCACAGACGAGGAAGCCAAGGCTCAGAGAGGTTAAGAGACTTGCAAGATCACCCACCTAATAATAAGCTGGGATCACATCAAGTCTGTATTTATGCTTTTAACCTGCCCTTGCGCCCTCCCTCCCATGGACTGGCCTACCGGTTGGCGGGCAGTCTGCCTGGGGCTTCCCCTGGGGGAGAGGGTAAAACAATCCTTCGGTGAGACTCAAGTGGTCCATCCTGTGCCCTGTGATTCTAATAAAGTGCTGGATCCGTGCCTTGTGTCCTGTTTCTTCCTGGGAACATGGGGGAAGGGAGAGGAGGAGAAGGCAAAGAAGAACCTGACAGCCTGTTTTAGTTTGTCTGGACCGTCATAGCAAAGTACGACAGACTGGGGGGCTTAACAAGAGAATTGTATTTTCTCACAGTTCTGGAGGCCGGAAGTCTCAAATCAAGGTGTCAGCAAGGTTGCTTTCTTCTGAGGCCTCTCTCTCTGGCTTGTCGATGGCTGTGTTCTCACTGTGTCCTCGCTTGGTGTGTGTCTGTGTCCTAATGTCCTCTTCTTGTGAGCCAGTCATATTGCATTAGGGACCACCAATAACCTCATGTAACCTTAATTACCTCTGTAAAGACTCTCTCTCCAAATACAACCACATTCTGAGTTACTGGGGGTTAGGATTTCAACATGAACTGGGTGGGGGAGGACACAATTCAGCCCAGAACAAAACCCCAGCTGAGATAATCCCCAAATGCTTTCACTTTGCCAACCATTTCCAGGCGCCAACATAGATACCAATCAGGACCCACATTGGGGCAGTCAGAAGCCCCAGGAAGTTTCCATGCCACGTCTAGGAACACTCGGCTACGGCGGGTTAGGGTAGGAAAGAGTCCTACGAGGTAAGATCCATTGGGGTGGGACCAAGGCGCAAGCCGAGGAGCCTAGCCACACGGTGACCTCTCCCCTTCAGTCCCAAAGGTGTGACCGACCAGGTCAAATAGGAAATCACACCTCACATAGGTGTTAGGGTTCCGAGTGAACTCTGGACTTCAGCTGTACCATGGACACCATGGCCAACACTTGGGGTCATTCTAAATACAATCGCTTCCCCTTTAGCATGATCCTCCAAGCTCTGCTACATTTTGAGGGAAAACAAATCCAACCACCTGACAAACAACCACTTACCTGACAATTCCCAGATGCACAAAGCCTCCCCACATCTCTCCTTTGCCCCCCAGCACAGGCTGGGAGGAGCGCCTGCATGCCTGCCCTCCTGAGGAGCCGGACGTCCCTGTGGCCCCTTGGGAGTCACAGGGAGGGGGTGGGAGAGGCAGGCCGAGGGCGAGCCCCTGTCGCTGTGCACTCCACTCCACTCATCCCTACGATACACCCCCGCCCCCAGTCTGTTCACTTTTGAAACAGGACCCAGTCAGAAGCTCACTGGCCTTGTCCTTGCGGTGGTTCCTTCTAAAACTCCCACAGCACACCCTGGGGAACTTATCGCCAGCTAAGCTGGGCCTTCCTGACAGGGCCCCTCACTGTCACTGAGGTGGCCGGGTGCTGGGGTGGGCAGGAGTAACAGCAACCATCCGACAGAAGGAGGAACCTCTTTATTCGCCTCTGTGCGACTCTGCGGGCCTTCACTGGGCCACCACACACGTGCATCTGGTGCTGGGGCTTCAGCAGCCAACGAGACAACAGAGGACTCCCGCGTTGTGAGGACAGACTCCATCACACACACACGTATGAGATCCTGCCTTCCCTTGCAGAAGGTCAGCGCTGGGACCCCTTCTGAACACAGCGCTCAAGCAGTAACAGTTTTCAACACCTCCCTAAATGCCACAGGCCTCTGTCCTGTGAGGAGAAGGAATTGGCACCCCTGGGCACAAGTCCGGTGACATGTCCCAAGGACTATTGGCCCAGGCTCTTCCCGCAGGAGGATCTACACCTCCTTTTACTGCTGGGAAGCCTGGACCTGGTCCCTCCTGGAGGAGCGGCTGAGGGGGCGTGACTGGGGCAAGGGAGAGAGGGTGCCCCCTTGTGGCAGACCCTGGAAAGACAGGCCTCCTTGCTTAGAAGGACTTCCCATTATTATTTATAATCGATGACCATTAGCTGACACATTTACGTAGGATTTTGCATTTCAAAATGCACTTTCCATCACATGACCTCATTTGATCCTTACAATGAGGTGCATGTTGTCACCTTACTTTTACAAAGGCCCAAAGGGTTTAAGCAATACTCATTAAAATAGTACTACTACTACTAATAATAATAAAAATAATGGCACCTGATTTATTGAGCCCTTATTCTGTGCCTGGCCCTGTGAATTTGTTTTATACAAATTATTTCATTTGTGAGACTTGTGGTGGTCCTTATGATACAGATACAGAACAGGTTCCAAGCATTAGACAGGTGTCCAGGGTCCCATCACCGGTAAATAGCTCGGTTAGGAAGCAAACCTAGGATCATCTACACCTGCCACAGCCAGGCCAACCATTTCTTATATAACCTTGGAGAGAGGAGTGCCCAGTCTGGTCTTCCAGCTCCCAGATGATTCCCCAGCTGCCTGAGGGTGGGAAGAAGAACCTAGGAGACTTCACCCACCAGGATCGATCCTACTACAGATCCCAACATACTGTTGGTTCCAAGGGCATGCTGTTTACCTTGATGCCAAGAGCCCCTCTTGAGGCACCATCGTCTGCCTTCTGGTGTGCCCTGAGGAAATTGGCACCTTTGGCTCAGCAGAGAGAGATTTTACATCCTGTTTCTGGGGAAGGAATCCCCAGCTCCCTGAGAGCTGCTTCTCTCCTATGGAGACAACAGAAAGTCACCCCGAAACTGCTGCAGGATGTCATCTGATGATCAAGACAAAGGAAGTGAAATGGGATGCTCTAGAAAGCTGCTGACTCTGAGGGAGCCTGAGGGAGCCCAGAGGACAGTCCGGTCTGCAGGGGATTACACACCCCAGCAGTCCTGTCATCCTGGCTGGCAGGCTGTACAGGCCAAGGTCATTGCTGTGAAGAGGAGACCCAGGCCTGTCCCTGCATTTCAGATCCAGACAGGGCCTCTCAGGGTCATGGGAGCAGGCAAAGTGGACACCAGCTTATGGGATATGGGAATGGCACTCAAGTGGCTCACTCTGGGACACATGGGGTCATGTCAATTGCACTCCAACTTGTGGGAGGCTGGAAGGAACCACAGTGACATTAATTTAGAGACTCTCCTCTCTGACCCAAGCCATCTGCCACTCCTTCATCCCAGAACTATGTGTTTCCTTGACTTGCTTATCCCAGAACAATTTCTGACAAAGGGGTATACACATCTGCTTGCATACCTCCAGTGACAAGAACCTCACCACCTCACCAGTCAGCTCTAAGTCAGCTTTGTCAGGAGGGCCTTCCCTTGTTGGGGAGAAATTCTTATTTCTCCCATTTCTTCACTGCCTACATTTACACTGCCTTGATTTACAAACAATGGAGCTGGCTTCCTTGGACATCTCTCCTCTAGGCTAAACAAGCCCAGGGCCCCCAGTGGACCTTGGAGACTGAATTTAAGATTTTATTTATTTATTTGAGAGAGAGAATGAGAGACAGAGAGCATGAGAGGGAAGAGGGTCAGAGGGAGAAGCAGACCCCCCGCTGAGCAGGGAGCCCGATGTGGGACTCGATCCTGGGACTCTAGGATCATGACCTGAGCCGAAGGCAGTCGCTTAACCAACTGAGCCACCCAGGCGCCCAAGGAGACTGAATTTAACTTTGTTTTTCTTCCTGCACAATCAAGCCCTGATTTTAAGACCCCTTCATATCTTTGGGATCAGGACCCCTTTGAGAATCTAGTAAAAGCTGTCAACCATCTCCATGGAAAATAATGCACAACCACACAAAATGTTATGTATTATGCTGGGGGTTCCATGGGCTCTAAGAACCCTTTCCTTAATGTCATAGTTTCTAGAATGTGGTTGGCCTTCAGGGTTAATTTATGTATTTGACAAGTGTTTAGGAGGGCCTACTATGTGCCAGGCACTGTTTCAGGTGCCCAGAATGGAAGTGTGAACAAACCAAATCCCAGCTCCAAGAATTTACAGTCTAGAGCAAGAGATAGACCCAAACAAGGAAGCCAACACATAAGTCAATTTTATATCGTGACAAATTCAAGGAAGAAAATGAAATGGCATAGTATAATAAGAAGTGGCAGGATGAGGAGGAGTGTTATTTTAAGTTGGGAGGTCAGAGAGGGCTTGGGGGGTGACATTTGAATAGAGGTCAGAGGACAGTGGGGAAAGAAGGGCCTGGGGGTCAGGCAGGAGTTAGGATGAGTGTCAAGACCCTGAGGCAGAAGGGGCATGGGATCTTCACACAAGGAGACCAGGGAGGCTGCAGTCTGGAGGGGAGGGGGCATGAGATGGGGTTCGAGGGGCACATGGGCCAGGCGGGAGTGGCCCCGGGGGGCCATTGCATCTAAGTGCAGTGAGTGACACTGCCCCTAGATACATTTTGAAAGGTCACTCTTAAACGGGGCTGGGGGATCAAAATGCATTCCCCTTTCCCATTTTCTTTTTCTTTTTTTTTTAAGCTCTAGATCGAGTCACGTGCTCTACAGATGGAGCCGGCCAGGCACCCCTCCCCTTTCACATAGTCCTGTCTCTATGAAGAAATCCTAGGAAAATAGAAAAGAAACTAGTAACAGGGGTTACCTAGAAAAGCAAGACTTCCCAGCATTTACATTTTATACTAGTGTAACCCCAGGTGTGTATCCCCTGCATTCCTGAGGCCTGCCGTAACAAGTGACCACAAACCGGCTGGCCCGCCACAATGGAAATGTCGTGTCCCCTAGTTCCAGAGGCCAGAAATCTGAAATCAAGGCAATGGCAGGCCCCGATCCCTCTGAAGGCGCTAGGGAAGCTCCTTTGCCTTGCTTCTTCTATCTTCTGGTGGTTTCCTTGGCCGGAGGCCACATCACTCCAATCTCTGCCCGGAATTGCCTCCTCCTCTTCTGTCTGTCAAATCTCCCCTGCGTGTCTCTTGTAAGGGTACTTATCACTGAATCAGGGCCCACCCGGAAAACCCAGGGTGAACTCTTCGTCTCAAGATCCTTAACTTAGGGGCGCCTGGGTGGCTCAGTCGGTTTACTGTCTGCCTTCGGCTCAGGTCATGATCCCAGGGTCCTGGGATCAAACCCTGCATCAGGCTCCCTGCTCATCGGAAGCCTGCTTCTCCCTCTGCCTGCCACTCCCCCTGCTTGTGCTCTCTCTCTCTCTCTCTCTCTCTGTGTGTCTC